ATGGCACCAGAGGCAAGATGAGTAGCATTTGACTTGCAGATACTATGGTACCCAAAAGTACCCAATATGAAGTAAGATTCCTTTTGGGTATAGTATTTTCAGAATATAATATAAGCTTACCTAGCTTAACCACAAAAAAACACGGGTATAGTATTTTCAGAATATAATATAAGCTTACCTAGCTTAACCACAAAAAAACACTGCTGAGATGTATTGAGCTGTGGCGAAATGTCACAAGCATTGTCGCATTGGCTGGGCCAGTGAGGCACCTGCCGCAACCCGAAGCATTTTGACGACTTGCTGAGGCAGGAACCGACCCAATCTCTGCTGCGGAAAAGCCTTTGCGCAAGCGGCTGTGCCTGACACTGGCATCTTGCAAGACTTTGCACTCTAGTCAAACGGGAGTCAACCTGGCTTTCTGTGCTCTGCTGCAGCTTCACACACATGCATCATTTCAACACGGCAGATCGCACAACAATCCAAGCTCGTCATAAGCTTTTTTTTCAGGAGCCAGAGAGAACGTGCAAATATCAAGCTTTTGCATTCCTTGCGTTTCTGTGGCAATGGCGTCGGAGCCGCGGCGCCTGCCCTGCCCCGAGGCTGATCAAAACCGTTGCAAAAGCCGAGATTCTGGTTGCTATAATGCTGCTATATTGCTGCATATTGTTATTGCATGATACGGTATTACTACTATTTTCTTAATATGATATTGCGATGATACGACCAGATTAGTATTGTCAGACTTCTGCACACGACTCAAAGCTATGCAGCGCATCATCGACATGGTTGGCTTCGCTTTTGGCGTTGGCACGCTGGGCGGCTTCGGCAACAGTCTCAGATAAGGGGGGTAGTATATGTAGTAGCAGAATTTCAAGTGAAGACAGCGGGGCAACTTGCTCTCTGATCTGAAGGCATGACCTTCACTCGCAGCCTCAGAGATCATCCCAAGGTCCAGCCCCAAGTTGCTACCTGCATTGTGCACGCTACAGCGGCTTTTAGGCGCAGCGATTTTGCATAAAGAGCCTCCGCTTGTAAGGGCCACCGCTTCTCTGGCGCCCTGGCGGCAGCTGGGCACTCAAGGTCTGAGGAAGTGGGTGAGTAGAGATTGATGGTTCTTGATTATTCGGACCTGTCTTTGAAGATCCTTTACAGATTTTTAGCATGCAGTGTTGCTCCTTTGCAGGGTTGCCTCGACACTTGACAATTTAAGCCTCTGCGGCGCGGGCTGGTCCCCGGTCAGAGATAGAGGCGCGGAGACGACATCCTCTGACCCGTGCGCGTACGCACGTGCAACGACGTCAACAGAACCCGCAGGACCCTGCTTCATCTCTTCTCCTGTACCTTGAACAAGCTAGAGTGTTTGATCCCTGCGCATGGTGTGAGTCTGCTCTGGACCGCATCGGCTCCCAGGGCCAACTTTTGAAAGTGGCGAGCCGGTTAATCCCGCGCCTTGTCCTTCCAAGGGTTTTGGCGCCGGGGGGCTCTTCATATGCTGCGTACAGCACGGCAACTATTGAAATGGCGGCCGGTGCGGCTGTGCGTTGCTCTTATAGCCTCTGGGCTTGTTTTGTTGCTTTACGGCTTTGTGAGCATTTCATTTTACGCGCAGTGGATCCTCCTGATGTCACCGCAAAAGCCGCTGCGACAGTGCTTGGGGTTGCACACTTGTGTGCTTGTGCTTCAGTTGTTTTGCAGTGAGTTCACGTGGCCCCGACCGCGAGACCAAGCCATGTTGGCACAAGCATGCGAGGGAAGAGTGAGCATCCACGGCATCAGGGGGTGGATGTCTTGGCTGCGAGCGCATGCGAGCGCTGTGGATAGCGAAGCACGAAAGCATACGAAAGCACTCCTGGCTTTGCGGAGCTCTTTGTGTTCGTCGTGCAGGTGTCAGCCTTGCGGCCTGCTGCCAGACCGGCGCGAACGTGGTTCTTGTTTGCTTAACGCGGTCCGTTGATACTGTTTGGAGACGGTACCGTAAAAAAACATGCAGGATGAACTCCTTCTGGGTGCCTCTGAAAATACCCATTTGAAGGCATCATTGAGCAACGGTGCATCTGCCGTGCAGTGGGCTTTTGGAATTTCATTGTTCGTATTGATGCCCTTCGAATCGATGCTAATTGACCAGGAATCTAGGCCTTGGAGAGATGCTTTTCTCAACCCCTTCTTGAGTAGGTGAGCCCCTTTTTGAGGATCTTTTCCATTATTCCCCACCCTCGCAGTGGGGTTGTTAGATTTTAAAGTAGATGTTGTCCTCGCCCGACTGGAAGCTGACTTTAGTGACCAACCACCAAGT